TCTGGTCACCTTTAAACTAAGACACTTTTTTTTTTTTTTTTTTTTTTTTTTAATGCTGGTAATGCTTCCCTTTCCTTGACTGTTAAAGTCTGTTCTTTCCAAGGACACCTTTCTCAGCTTTCCTTATTTCTTGTTCTGCTTAGGGACTCCTAAATCACACACTGGCAGCCCACTTTTCTTGCATGGATGACCATTAACTCACTGTTGCAGGTTGCTTGGCTGACCTACAAGACTCATCAATAACCAACCATGCATTATTGTAACTCAGTAACCACGAGCTTCCCAGTGAAAAACAGCTGAGTGAAACAGCCAGTTCAGATGAAAGAAAAAATAATTCTGAAGCACATATTTGCTGAATCTATTGTTTCTTGAATTACAAACATTCAAGGGTCTATTGCAGACTGCACTTCAGGAGTGTCCTTGGCTGTCTCAATGGCACTGCATTCTCACACTGCAACACTGTCTAGAAATTCCAGTTTTGTGAGAAACAGAGCTGCTGCTGCTCACCAACAATCAGACCTTATTTATTCACAGGTTGTCATTCCTCAACTGATTACAGCAGTACTGTTTATATGGACAATATGTCTTCCCTGTTTAGGGAGTTTTGAGAAGTACATAATGCTGCAGCACAGCTTAGAAACACAAGTCATTTGTAGGTATATCAAAACAATCTCTCTGGCTTTCCGTAGAATTTAAATTAATTTCAATATCTCAGTCTTTATCTTCAGAGAATGTAATTTCCAGGACAACTACAGTTCCAAGATAATAACTGTTGTTGACATGAGCAGCACTCCTGGCTATGGAGGCAAGGTACTCTTTTCAGGAGACAACTCACAGAGACCTGATTGCAAACAACAGAATGAAGTTTTCCAAAGACAACAACAGAGTTCACCCATCATCCTGTCCCAGCTACAAAGCAGACTCATTTTACCTTGCCTCCTTCAATCCAAATGTCTGTTTTCAAGAGTACCCATTTGTTTCTCAGCAATTAACTGCCACACTATGAAAACAAAATGCTTCACATGCTCTTGCTCCTCTGTGGAGGGATACAAGTATAAACAACATGTAATGTGTTCTAGGAGAGCAGAAATTTCCTTGTAACACCCTTTCACTTTGTAATACATAATGCATTACCTCACATATTTAATGTTAAATGTATGCAGTGTTTAAGAAGAGATTCCTAATGCAAATAAGCAGCTATGAAACTATGCCAGAAACAATAATTTCTCATGATGAAAGCAAGTTAAATGTACTTTAAAGACCATGTAAGTATTTGGAAATATATTTCCTCTTTCTTCTCCCCATATTAAATGGAACTTTCATGCCATCCTCCCACCAGCACCAACTTTTGCCTAGTTCAGATGTGCTCCTTACATGTCTGTGTACCTGTTAGTAACTCACATACATTCAAAAGTTGTTAAAATTTGACACATTGCAGAGCTTTGGACTCTGTTGACCCTTAAGCCAGTCACACTAAATGCTTAAATTGTTTTGGGCATCAGAAGTCCCAGAAAGACTTGACAAACCTGCTATAGCTGACAGTGCAGAGATGGTCTCCTGATTTCTGCAGTATAATCTGCAGGCAGTGCTTGCTGGAATGGACAGTTTGCCTGATGCAGTATGGGTGTAATCACCCTCCTCTTCTTTTTTGTCTCAGGAAAGCTGCTAAAAGCTAATACCAGTTGCTGCACTTTTTGGGAAGTAACAGACAACATTCAAACTCAAACACAGGAAAGTTTTGTTCATAACTGTACTTGCAGGTTCTTCATGTCCAGTAAAAGCACTATTAATATTACATTCTGAAAAGTTGCAGGACCAGTTTATGCCCTGCATAAAGCAATCTCAAAGGACCAAACTATTTTATTACTGTTAGTGAATTTCGCTCATGTCTGTTTTCCAATTTGCCAAAACAATTTGCAAAAGGTAAAGGCACAATACAGCAGTGATTGTGACTCACTTCAGTTTATTGGTTGTGTGGTGCATACAAAACAACTCATTTGGGGTGTCCTCATGAGATCATTTCAGAATTATCATCCTTGGTTAGCTTGAAACAGAAAAATTTTCAAGTGGTACAGGGAATTTTTTTTATAAGACTTATCTCTGTTATCTCTTTTTCTCCTAGTATTTGATGAGCATTGTTGATGGGGTTGTACAATAGTGTTCTTGTGACTTGCAGCTGTGTTTTTCAAATGAATATTTGTCTTGGATTCTCCATGGAATCTCTCAGCAGCTTTTATTGATGTTTCTTGTAAATGTTAAACACTACATCAATTCTTTGACTTTCTACACCATCATGTACTGCTGATAACCAGGTACTTGTTAACTTTGTTTATTCTTTGGATCACACTCATTCCATCAGTGACAAATGGCCTGCTGTGGTTTCAGTGTGATTTGCATTCCACACAGTCCCTCTACCAAAGTTGCCTGCTTTCTTCTTCAGAGTGATCTATCCTGTCTTGTCAGTGGGTAATGAATAAGACATACTGAGTATGCCTGCTTGGAGCAACACATTTTTAAAAAAATTTTGTTGTTGTTGTTACATCCTTATCTGTTTTGAACATTACTATTAAGAGATCCTTGCTGTTCCTGCTCTTCTTTGATGATTCTTTGGTGAAAGAAAAAACTCTTTCTCTCTGTAAGTCCATTAATGAAATTTCTTTATGAAACAATCACTCTTAACATGATTAAAAAATGCAGGGCTGCTTACCTACTTTATGTGCTTTTAGGAGGTCATCAATACCATCTGGCAGGACTGGCTGATAAGCTGACAAAATCATTATTGATTGGCTTTATCTTAAGAATTTCGAGCAAGTCTTCAATACTTGGCCTTTTAGAAGTCTAATCATCTGTACTTGTTCAGTATTCACTCAGATACATACTCTGTTCTGGAGATCCTTGGCTGTTTTGTGTCTCTCAGCTATTTTTTACTAATATTTTGATGGTCAGCAGCAAGACAGTATTCAGCTACAAACAAAATCTCTTTGAACTAAATTGACTTGAAACTAAATCCCTTTAACCCCCTGCAGTCTGGAAGGCTGAGTGGAGTTCTTCAGCTGAGCTGATGTAATGGAAAGCAGGAAGGTCCTGCTGTCCATTCCCTTAAGCAGTCAGTGTTTTTTGTTTAACCATATTCATTTCACATTTGCAAGGAGTTGAATTGTCTACCCATTTACCTTTCAAAAATGGCTCCTCATGAGGTCAGGAAAGCACTGTGGCTAGTACAGGGAGGAGTAGCAGCAGACACTCATAGTCCAGAAAGAAGAGAGCAGGACAATGCCTTTGGTAGCAGTCACATTAGAGCCATACAGCTACAGCAGGAAACTATACCTTGAAAGTGTGCTTTTTTTATTGTTAACTTAAGATGTTCTAATTCTGTGCTGCTTATCTTCCCCTAGTCCCACATTCCCAACTCCTTCCTTATTTTGGCTCCAGCAGTTCTGTGGTGAGTTGAATCAACCTGGCTGCTGATCAACACTTTGCTTACCTGAGAACTCGTAATTTCTGTGTGTGTGTTAATTTTCAGGTGGATCTGACTCACCCTTTGGTTGCATGATTACTAGAACTGATGCAAGGCAAGAAATGGAAATACCTGTAGAGGAGGGGCCAAAATCTTTTTTTCCAGCTGGAAATCAGTCTTAGATCAGTTTGAGTCAGTCATGGGGCTGTAGTCAAACAAACTCTTAATGCTGAAACTGCTGTCAGAAGAAACAGTCCTGCCTCCCTGCCCAGTGAATGCAATCCTTCCTAGCCCTGTGCCACCTCCATCTGATATTGATCTGGTTCCTCATGCAACACAGCTGGCTGCATGGCTGCAGGATGATCAGAACAATGGGGTGAATGATTTGATAACCAGTTTTTCAGGTTCACACCTCAGGCCAACTCCCAGGCCTGGCTCTGCCTGAAGCAGGTTGGAGGCTGTTGCAGGGCTGGAGGGATGGAGGCACCATCTCCATCAGGGCACCTGAGCTTGGCATGAAGTGTCAAAGTACAGCTGCACACCTGGATTTGCTGTCTCTGCACTGACAGACTCTCACAGCAGGAACCTCACCAGGCTCCAGGCACTGGCAAGTCCCCTGTGGGCAAACGAGCCAGTGGAGATGGCCAGGGCTGTGGTGCCTCCCTGTGATGTGAGTGGGGGCTCTCACCTGGGAGCCATTGCCTGAAAACCAGCGCTGCACATGGACACCTCCTGATTATCTGGCACTTCCAGCAGCAGGGGCCACCTCACCCCACGCTGTGCTGGCACTGATGCCCACATCCCAGGGTGGCAGGACCCTGTGGGTGCACAAAGCCCCTGCTCATGACCTCCTCCTCTCTCCCATCCCCAGAGCAGCTGCCCGTGGAGCCACCATGCTGGGTGACCCTGCTGAGGCCACTCCTGCAGCGCTGGGTCCAGTTCTGGGCTCTGCAGCACAAGGGAGACGCGGAGCTCCTGGGTTGGGTACAGTGGAAGGCTACAAAAATGATTGAAGGACTGGAGCATCTCTCCTAGGAGGAATGGCTGAGGAGCTGGGCCTGTCCCACCTTGAGAAAAGCTGACTGAGAGGAGACCTCATCAATGTGTATAAATATCTAAAGGAGGGCTGTCAGAGGATAGAGCCAGGCCCTTCTCGCTGGTGCCATGGGCAGAAACTGATGCACAGAACTTGCACACGAACATGAGGAAGAACTTCTTTACTGTGCAGTGACCGTGCACTGGGACAGGTTGCGCAGAGAGGGAGTGGAGTCCCGCTCACTACAGACGTCCAGGAGCGCTCCGGCGGCAGTGCTGCTCTCCGGGACGGCCCTGCGGGGCAGGGAGGCCGAGCGCGGAGACCCCACGGAGTCCCCGGCCGGGCCCCTCGGGCACGCCGCGCCTCCCGCCCCAGGCCGCACCTCCCGCCCCGGGCCCCGCCCCAGCACCAAGCCACGCCCCTTTCCACGCCCCCCAGGCGCGCGGGCCCGGCGCGCGCGCAGTCGCGCGGTAAACAGGCCCCGCCGGCCCCGCCTCCTCGTGTCGCCCCCGCGCGCAGGGGCCGCGCGCGCGCCGGCGGCTGCGCAGTGTCGGCACATCCGGGCACTGGGGCAGGATGAGCGCTCCTTTCCAAGATGGCGGCGGAGGGAGGTGGGAAGGAGATGAACGAGATTAAGACCCAGTTCACCACCCGGGAGGGGCTGTACAAGCTGCTGAGCCACTCGGAGTACAGCCGGCCTAACCGCGTGCCCTTCAACTCGCAGGGCTCCAACCCCGTCCGCGTCTCCTTCGTCAACGTCAACGACCAGAGCGGCAACGGGGACCGGCTCTGCTTCAATGTGGGCCGGGAGCTCTACTTCTACATCTACAAGGGGGTCCGCAAGGTACCGGGGCTCCCCCGCCGGGATGGGGCGGGGACTGGCGGGGGCTCCGCGCCGCCCGCCCGCCGGGGTGCGGGAGCCCCGGGGCCGCGCCGGGGGCGGGGGAGCGAGGCCGGGCCGCCCCTCCCTCGCTGTGCCCCCTCCCCCGGCCGCGGGGCCGGCGCTCCTCGGCTCCGGCCGAGCTCCCGGTTAACCGGGTAGCGCCTGGGGAGGGGGAGAGCAGGCCTGGGGCGAGGGCGGTGTGAGGGCACCGGCGCCGGGTCGGTGCTCGGGGCTGCTCCAGATACGGTGTCACCGGCGGGAGTTGTGTGTGTGTGCGTGTGTGTGTGGGCCCTGTGCAGGGATGCGATCGCTTGGGCCCTCCTTGTGCGGGAATGAGGGTTGGCTTTCCCTCCCTGGGCCTCCTTCACCTGCTGCTTCAGGTCAGAATTTGCTGGGCACACTAATGCCTGTTGTGATTATGGTGGTGTCAAATCCCTGCTTCCAGGATCTTCCTAGCTTTGGTTGCATGGCTGAAGCATTCCGTGCAGCTTTAGGCCTTTGTTATGACTTAGAAGTGTGGGTTGGTTTTAGAATTGTTTCTAAATGGGAGCGGTGCAGTGAGATGAGTCTTAAATATCAGATAATTGACAGAGAGAAAGTCGCTTTTGCAGGAAAGTAAGATTGATGTGCTTGAGAGAGAGACTCCTTGCTTGTCATTATAGGATGCAGGTCAGCGCATGCTTTTGATCTCTCAGGTCACTATATTTATGAACATACCCTTGATTTTATAGGATTCAGAGAACAATTCGGAATTTGCCATGCTAGGTGAACACATGTCACTCCTCAGAGATGTAAACACAGATCTAATGAATCTCAGCTTTCTGTTTTGTTTCACATAGTGGGTGTTCGTTATTTTACATGCTCGGGTCTCAGCTGCCATCATGTGAGTACCTTGAAATCTTCCTGCTTTTAGCTCACCATTCAGCATGGGATGGTGGCACAGAGAGCTAGAGACTCACAGGAGGCTGTGCAGGAAGCTCGTGGATGAGCAGGGGATTATGCCTGGATCTGCTGTGTCCTGGGTAGTGCCCCCAGCACTCCTACTTTCTGTAAAATGTCGGCACAGCAGGAGTTTAAAGTCTACGTGGTTGTTTGTTGACTGTGACCTAACAGATCTGATATGTTTTGTATAATTTTATGTGAAAGTGTGTCTGTGTGTATTTAGTTTCACTCTTTAATGAATTTTAATAATCTAGGTATGTTTCAAAGAGTACTTGGACAATGGCCTCTTCAAGCATACAAGGAGTATTTAGTATCAGACAGTATTTCCTGCTTACAACCAGTTGCTGTCTTTACAAGGTATCCTGAGGAGCAATATCTCTGAAAATCTGTATCCTAAATTGTTGCCGTGTTTGGGTCTTGCTATGTTTGTTTTTTCCATGCAAAGTAGCTGCAGAGTTCTCTCCCTCAGCTCACAGAGCAGGCCTTTATGTAGTTTAGTAATGGCACATGTGATTCTTGCAAGTTCTCTTAGTCATCTCTTGCCACACTTCTGAGAAATAAAAATCTAAAGGCTGCAACGTTGTCCACAATAAGGAATGAAATAATTACATCAAATTACAAAAGTCTTCTTGAGCTGGGTATTTGGATATCTTTTTAGATGCTAAAAGCTACTGCTATGGTATACAATAACTGAGAAATTTGAGTTTGTGAACTCAGGAGGCATTTATACCTGGGACAGTGTGAAACACTTTTTTCTCTGAATAGAGTGAAACACACACATTATTAGTACAGAATTAATCTCAATGACCTTTTACAGTATTAACTATGTAAAATAATACTGTATATTCTATATGTATAATACTTTAGTAAAGTGCACCTAAAGAAAGAGCTGAAATAGATTGACTCAGTCTAAGGAAAGCGCTTTAAATGAAATGGGACGATGGTCTGGCTTAAATCTGCAGTACTTGCTGCTTTGGAATTTATTTTGGAACTTCAGTTGGAAGTAACTGTTTTGTCTGTGTACAAAAGTGAAACAGGAACAGGCTGACAGCCTGTCAACTTATCATGTGAACTTTTCAGAATCAAAAGTTCTATCTTGTAGCTATCAGAAAGGGAGAGAGCTATTGTTACCTAAATGGACAGGATGTAATTCTGCCTTAAACTGGGCAGACTAGGACATTCTGTGTTCCTTCCTGTTCCTGGGAGCAGGATGGGGAGAGGGATTTGAACTGTTTAAGACCAACCTATTTGTGCTCCTTGGCATAATGCAGGTGCTGATAACTTCAGTTTTAGCTGTTAGTTCATAATTATTTATGTATCCCTTAAAAATTTTCCCTGATTACTTTAAGATCATGATTTTCATTCTGGCTAAGTCATATTAGAGTATTGAGTTGAATTTAATGAAGCTGTGCTGTGTGAATATATCAGCTCACCATGATTTTGTCTTTTTATTTTTTCTTTTTTTCCCTTTTTTTAAAAAATATTTTTAAGACTTGTTTTCTTGATGGGAAAATGCTATATTTTTCCCAAAATGAGTGAAAGAATCACCAGGACTGTATTTTGAGTGACCATGTCTGTCAGGTACTGAGATAATTCTTGCATCAGTAATCCTTTGCAGATCAGTACACATTAAGGAAGAGTAACACTTAAGCCATGAATGACACTTAAGAATAAATAACCTAATATTGAAGCAGAGATACCACTTGGAAGGATATTTCTTGACATCCATAATGCTAATCTTTCTTCTTTTACTTTCCCTTAAGTCCTAAATGCTTTGTGTCTGCTACATCTGGTTTGTAAGTCACCTTTTTACATGAACTGCTGATGTGTGTGTTGTTTTAGGAGATTTAACTTACATAAAGAAAAATGTTTCCAGGTAACCTTGATCCTTCCAAGGCACTTGGTGGAGAAGTTACATCTGGCATCCAGGACAGTGGTGTGGAGATTTGTCTCTCTACCAAACCCTTAGGATTGGAGTACAAATAGACAGAATTTTGGACAGCATTTGAGGCTGTCTCTAGAGACTTTTCAAAGCAAAAAGGTACTTTCTCCCAACTTTGTTCTTCACCTATTTAAGAAGAATAATAAAAACATTATTAAAACCCCCTGATTTTTATAAAATAATGAAACGTTGCAGCTGTCTTTGTGTTTATAAAGCAATGCAGACTTCCAGAAAACTCCTGTTTTCTGATTTGGATCCACTAAAAAAAAAAAAAAAGACTACAGACCTGTAGTTTAGTAAGAAGTTAAACTGTGACAGAATGAGATGTGGTTGGTTTACTTAGATAAGTATGTAATTGTTCTTAACTGCACTGAGTGTCAATGGACTTTCCCTTTCAGTCCTCCTTTACTTTGGCTTTCAGGTTAGATGTGTGCAGTGATCTCTTATTAACCAGAAAGGGAAAATTTTCCTTTCCTCACCTGATCTAGTGAGAGCTGTAAATGATGGACTGGCAGTGTAGGATCCTCTTGGCAGTGTGCTCCATCTCCTTGTCTTTGGCAGTGCTCAGCCTCTGGTTGAGCTAGTACAGCTTGCTAAACCAGCAGCAAAAAGTACTTGCAGTTTTTCTGGGCAGATTTCCTCTTGATTTGGCGAGTTGAATGGTGTCATCTTGGGGTTGATGAGTACAGTGACAGCAAGGAAAGGGTTGGAGGGGCTCAGCCCCCTTCGGTGGCCTGGACTGTCTGCTGGGATCCACTGCCTTGGAGGCCTCTCCTGAGTAAAGCCTCTGCTTCAGCCTTAAGTCAGTTCTGGAATGATCTGTTCCTGAGGGATTGTTGACTTGATGTTGATTAAGAGACTTATAGGTGTTAAAGGAAGCTTTTCCTGTTATTTTAGGCATTTCCCTCTTCATGGAGTGAGATTATTACATAATAATTCAAAAATTGTTCAAGTTATGATGCTCTAGTGTTCTTGTTGGGTTGCTTTTTCCTATAGCCCCTAACCAGGAGTGAGGGCTGTTACTTGATTTTTGTTTATAAGACAGTCTTGAAGAACTTAAATATGGTTTGTGGCTAGCTTTGCAAAATGATTTATTAGTTGATTCATTAGGCTGGAAAAGAGGGTGCTATATCATCTTCCTTGCCTTAGGAATGACTGACAAGGCAAGGCTTTCCAGCCTGCTGCTGACATTAACTACCAAGTCCTTTTCCCTTCCTGCTAGAAAGCTTGTGCATTTTCCTTATAGAAGTTGTGTGTGTGATGATGTGTTATTCTCTTTATGTTGTAAAAGTTTCTGGGCAGGTTCATCTGCAGCTGTCATTGCAATGCAGGTACACATTAGCAATAGTGTTGCATGGTGCACAGTCTTAATTTTTACGTAATATATCGGCAGGTTATGAAACTTGAATGTACAATTTAGCTTATTACAGGACAGAAAACCTTTTAATTCTGGCTATATACTCTTTGGTAATGTGTGGCAGACTTTCTTAACATTGGCTGTTTCATTTTTTTGAAATCACCTTGTTGCAAGAAGAGGCTTTGCCTTTAGTTTGACTTTTTTTCTTGCAGCTATTTAAAGCAGCAGTCTGTTAATAACTTTGGAATATTACAATATGTTGCAGTAGTGTTGGATTAGAAGCATACATAAGTGATAAGCACAGGTTGCTGGAGCCATGTAGGGCAGAATTTGTTGACTGTCTTTTTAAGCTTTACTTGAGCAAGTGTCTTGGAAATGATATTTGTACTAGGATGAAAATCATCTCATATCTCAACTTCTTTTATTGAGAGTTGGCATACTGGTAGTGCCTGCTTATCGGTGAAAAGACTGATGTATAGGATTCCTTCCTTTGCAGTTCTCAAAATTACTTTTTTGTGTCTGGCTTGATTTGTTGTGCAGTTGAAGAGTATTATCCTTGGTGGTGACTTTCATTCTATAGACTGTTCACCTGGGAACTTGTTGCAGTGACAGAATGGTAATGGATGACATTTGTCACTGTGCTTAATATATTGCTCTGAGAAGAGCAGTGTCAGGCAGTTCTAGGTTGGAAGATGGGATGTGTGGAGAAAACCATCACAT